GCCCCTGCAGCGGCAACTCCAGCGCCGCCTCCAGCGGCGCGTCAGCCGCCTCCGAAGCAGCCGACGCCACCTGCGCAGCCGCCGCCTCAGGCTCTGCTGCAGCCTCCAGCGCCGCCTCCAGCGGCTCCACCAGCGGCAACTCCAGCGCCGCCTCCGAAGCAGCCGACGCCACCTCCACATCCGCCGCCGCAGGCTCTGCAGCCTGGCCCCCACGGCTGGAGATCGCCGAACGGGGGGCCGTGGAGGGCGGGGGTCAACGGCGGCAAGGCGCGGTGCGGCATCAGCGGTGGCCGCAATCGCGACTACTACCGCTTGCTGAGGCGCGCGCAGAATGAGGGCCCCGCGGCTGCGGCAGCGTTCAAGGCGCAGAACCCGCGCCCGAAGGAGCTCGAGAGGGCGTGGCAGTTTTACCAGAACGCCTTGCACGTCGCCAGGGCGGTCTCGCCAACGCCGCCAGCAGCAAAGGCGGAAACCAGCAACACCGCGGCCAGCAGCAGCAACCAGCTCGGCAAAACGCCTTCACCCAAGCCTTTCCTTTGAGTAGCGGGCGCGACCGCTTAGCTTTGCAGCGGAAGCGACCGCTTAGCGGATGCGACCGCTCAGCTCAGCGCTGCAGTAGCGGACGCGACCGCTAGGAGGACGATGGGGGGAGAGGGCGAGCAAGACGAGGAGGAGAGGACGAGCAAGGAAACGAGGAGGAGGAGGAGGAGGAGGAGGAGGAGGACGCGCAAGGAGACGAGGGCCACCATAAGGATGACGAGGAGAAGGGAGTGCGAGAGGAGGAAGACGATGAGCGGTAAGCCCATGCTCGACGCGCCTCGCATCGGGCGCACCCCCGCGCCCTCGCGGCGCTTCTGCGCCGAGCAGACGAGCTGCCTCGGCCCGCGCGGAGTTACAAAATAGCGTGCTCTCCAGCATCTGCCCCAAGCTCCCGTGCAGCTGCCATGTTTCCTCCTCTTCCTAACACCTCCTCTTCATAGCGGCCAGACCGCTTTCCGATTCCTCCTCGTCCGTCCACCTCCATCGTCCTTCACCCGATATAAGTAGCGGCCAGACCGCTTTGCCTCTCACCCTTCTCCTGCACCACCTCCTCCACCATATCGCGGCCAGACCGCTTTGCACCTCCCCCTTCTCCTGCGCCACCTCCACCCATGTAGCGGCCAGACCGCTTTGCCTCCCCGCCTGTCCACCTCCATCGCCCCTTCCACCGAAATAGCAGCCAGATCGCTTTGCGCCCCCTCCTTCTCCCGCAAACCATGCCTTTGCCAAACAGCGGCAAGACCGCTTTGCGTCTTGCCATCGCCATGTAGCCTCGCATTGGTTGCGCCACATCCTTGCGTTTCGGATCGATCGCTGAGCTGCGAGCTCCGCTGCCGCCTCCTCGCGGGGCACGCCGCTTCCCGCCTCCTCGAGCGAGGCTCCGCTCGAGGCTCCGCCAGCGCGCGAGCGATGGCGAGCGATCGCGCCGACGACGACGACGCGTGCACGCAGTGGTGGTTCCATGAGTGCCCGTTCAGCCACAGTTGCCCGCAGGAGAAGTGGGTTAAGCGCTCTCACAGGTGCCAGAGCTGGGACTCCGAGGCGGACGCGCGGGATAAGCTGTTCATGCACCTGCGCTGGAGCGACAAGCACCAGAGCGACGTGGCTGACATGGCGGACGAGGAGCTCAGGGACTTCGCGCAGGCGGTCGGGATCGATAAGCGCACCATCAGCAAGAACGACGACGAGTACAAGCGTTGGATGGCATGGGAGGCGGAGAAGGAGGAGAACAAGAGGATGGCTGCAGAAGCCATCGGCCGCAAGCAGTACGGCGACAGGGCCCGCCGCGCCGACGACGACAGGGGCCGCCGCGACGACGACAGGGACCGCGACAACAAGAGGGCTCGTCGTGGTCGTTCTGGCAGCGGCGCCGACACGGAGCAGATCGCTGAGTTGGTGGCGTCCAAGCTCGCCGCTGGCGCAGCAACATCAGGGGCTTTAGCGGCAGCGCCCTCAGCAGCAGCACCAGGGGCGGCATCCAAGTCACCAGCCGTGTTGGCGCGCCTGCATCAGGGCAGTGGTGCCATCGCGGACAACGCCGCGAGGGTGACCATGAGCCCCGGCGAGCTCAAGGCGCCCCAGGACGACGTCAAGCGGTGCAGCAGGGCGTCGGGCCAGATGTTGCGCTTCCTGGAAGGCGCCAGGGTTGCGTTCTCGAACGAGCTGCAGACGTTCAACGACGCCGACGGGACCACCCAGCAGCTCATCGATGCGCACTCGTCGGGGTTGGTCTTCGGCGGTCGCGGCTGAGCGGCATCTGCAGTGGCTCGTTTTCTTCTCTTCTCATTACCATCGGGAATCTCGCCATCGCAATCTCACCGTCGAGAATCTCACCATAGAGAATTTCATCATTCTTCAGTTGCTGCGAGCCTGTTCGCATTAGAGCACTTCACGTCTTGCGTTGGAGACGCCCCTGTTTAGCCAGCGCCCAGCGGAGTTCCGCTCGAGACGGCGACGCCCGAGCTTTGCGCGGCTTTGCAGGAGACAGAGGCTGCGCGAGATCCCTTGCCATCCATTCCTGCCCCTTTCCTTCCTCCTACTCCTCTTCCTCTTCCTATAGCGGCCAGTCCGCTTGCGTGCGTTTGCGACGTTGCTGCAGCGGCCTGGCCGCTTGCATGGGTTTGCCAGATTTGCTTGGTATAGCGGTCTGTCCGCTGTCATTCTTTTCCGTTTTCACCTCCTCCTCCTCCTCTTCCTCGTCCCCCTCCTCCTCCTCCTTCTCCCCCTCCTCCTCCTCTGCCCCCTCCCCCCCTTCCTCCTCGGCGCCCCTCTTGGGGCCTCGGCGCCCTCTTGGCGCTGGCGCCCCTGGGCCTCGGCGCCCCCAAATCCGAAGCTCCGAAGCTCCTCCCATTCCTCTTCCTCCTCCTCCTCTTCCTCCCCCTTCTCCTCCTCCTACCCCTCCTCCTCTATCCTCTCTCCCCTCCTCCTCCCCCTCCTCCTCCTCCCCCCTCCTCCTTCTCCTCCTCCTACCTCTCCTCCTCTATCATCTTCCCCTCCTCCTTCCCCCCCCCCCCCTCCCACTCCCCCATCCCCCCCCTCGCCCCCCTCTCCCCCTCTTCCTCTTTTCCCCCCCCCCCTCCTCCTCCATCCTCATGCCGCTCCTCCCCCCCCCCCCCCCTCCCCCGCCCCTCCGCGCCCCCCCCCCCCCCCCACCCCCCCCCTCTCCCACCTCCCTCCCCCCCCCCCCCCCCCCTTTCACATCGGCAGCAGGCTGGATGTTGGCTGGATGGTGCATGGGTGTTGTTTTCATGTTGTGTTGTTGTTGCTATTTTTGTTTTATGTTGTGTTTACGTTGTTTTTTGTTGTTTTGAGTTGTCTTGTAGGGCGGGCGCCAGACGACGCCAGACAACGCAAAGACAACATGCAAACAACAAAAAAAAAACATCAACAACACAACAAAAAAAAAACAACATGTTGTGTTTTGTTGTTCTGCGTTGTTTTATGGTGTTGTTGTGCGTATGTGTGTGTGTGTGTGTGTGTGTGTGTGTGTGTGTGTTATTTTTTTTTTTTGTGTGTGTGTGTGTTGATTTTTGTTGTCTGGTGTTGTTTCTTCTCTTTTTTTGTTCCTTTGACTACTGTTTCCCCCCCCCCCCCCCCCCCCCCACCGTCGTCACCTCCCTCGTCCGTTTCCTCCCCCCTCCTCAGCGGGCCAACCGCTTTGCGTTCGCTTCCCTCCGGCCTCCCCATTCTGCTCCTCGCGGCCCAACCGCTTTGCATGGGAGGAGGGAGAGGAGGAGGGGGAGGAGGAGGAGGAGGAGGAGGAGGAGGACAGGATAACGATTTCGTCGCAGCCGTGTTTGGCTTCAAGTTTGTTGCGTTCGCCCAGCCGAATTCGAGAATTCGTTAAATGGCTGCCTGGGATGCGAGCTGCGCCACGCGCGGCGCCCTCGGCCCCGCAGCCAACATGGACGTGTGGCACTTCGCGCAGGACGGCTCCTGGCGGCACCGCTGCTGCCTGCGGCGCGTTCGGAATTGCCGAGCGAGCTTCGGTGATGAGCACCGTTTAACCGAACCCTATCCCCATCTCGGTGGCCGTTTCTCCACTAGGGGATTTACCCCCCGACATGGGGATATAGGCGGAATACCTGGGGTTTCGGGGGGTATATCCCCATGTCGGGGGCGGCGGGAGGGGGTGGGCTGGTGGGGGGCTACATGGGGTTGTTAGGTTAACCGATACTGAGGTGAAGCGCTACTCACCGTCGACGCGGACACGGCCACGAAGCTCGTCGACGAGCGCCTGGCGATCGTGGCTCAGGCGCGCGCTGCCCAGGACGGCGAGAGGGACAGGCGCGCCAACCAGCGGCGACGGCTTCGCTGAGTGAATCCGCGCGCCGCGCGTTTCGAATCGGGAGCCGTGCTCCCCGCCTGCGCCCGCAGAGAAAAAAGCGTCGCGGAGGGCGACGCCTCCCGTCGAGGAGGCGCCGCGCGCAGTTCCTCCTCCTCCTCCCCCCCCCCCCCCATCCGCGTTCTCCTCAGCGGTGCAACCGCTCTGCTTTGCATGGCCCCTGAGGGGGGGGGGAGAGCGGCCGAAACCAGACAGATCAGTGATCTATCTGTTTTGGGCCCTCCTCCACCTCTTCATCCTCGTCCTCTCCCTCCTCCCCCTCCCCCTTCTCCTCCTCAGCGGGCCCAAGCCGCTTTGCCTTGCAGTTTTCGCATGTATGTCCTCTTCCTCCTCCTCCTCCTCGCCCCCCCCCGCCTCCCCCCTCCTCAGCGGTTTACCCGCCTTGCTCTGCAAATTCAAAGGCGCGGTCGCTTCCCGCGTTCACGCTTCCCGTTCGCAGCCACTTGAAGGGCTTCCCGAGGCGACTGCCTTCGTCGGAAGTTCTCCCGCGCACGCCATGGCGTCCAAGCGCGTGATTGAGAAGCGGCGTCCAGGAAAGGTTGCTTCGCTGCCCTGTGGCGATGGCGGCGATCATGCCGCTTCTTTTCTCATGCCCTCATATCATCGCTCCATCCAGGCGCAGCGGCGTGGCCGCTTGGCACCCGACCCCCCTTCCCCGCACCTCTTCAGGCGATGCTGCTGATGCAGCAGACGCAGCACAGGTCATCGCCAACGCGATGATGACGACCTTGCCCAGCTTCTCCGACGACAGCCCTGCTCCCATGGCACCAGTGGCAGCTCAGAACGTGCTGCAGTCGCTCTTCCAGCGCCAGACCGCGGCAGGCAGCCAGGGGGCGCCGACCGAGGAGGCGGGAGACGCTGTCGCAGGCAGCCTTCAGCCAGTAGCAGGCGAGCCTGTCGGCGAACCCGCGGGCGAGCCCGTCGCCCGCGCCCCCGGTGTCGCGCCAGCAGAATCCCCGAGCGACGCCCGCCCGCCCTGTCCGCCCCAGCCCGGGGCAACCAAGGAGGCGACAAAGCCTGACAAAGAGGCAGCAAGGGACCCCCTGCCTGACAAAGAGGCAACGAAGGAAGAGGCTGAAGAGGAGGCGGGCGAGGGGGCTGAAGAGGAGGACGTGCCAGTGGAGCAGCTGTCGGACGACGACAAGAGGGGGGGGGGGGAGGTCGAGGCCCTGCTCTCGCAGGGCGACCCGAAATGCTCCATGTGCAAGAAGGAAGCGAATCCGCTTGCACAGGGTTGTAAGATCACCCATGGCGGCACGGTCATCGCGTGTGCCACGTGCAGGGTGCGAGACCAAACGCTTCGAAGGATTTTCGGCGGGTAGCCGATTGCGGAGTTCGACGAGCTCACCACGGAGGAGCAGGATCACTTCTACCAGAATTGCGGGTCAGCCGCTGCTGCTTGCCGCGACGCGATGAAGGGGGTGCTGATGAATGTGCGCATGAAGCGCATCACGGAGACCCGCGCTGGGCAATTCCTGCCCTTGTCTGTGTGCGAGAAGCTGGGATGCACCACGAAAGACATTGAGGAGAAAACACAGGCTGCTGACATCGAGGATCACCCAGTTCTCGGGAAGACGCACCGAGTTCAGATCCGCGAGATCTCGGAGGCCAGGGTCAAGGAGGTCACCATGCAGGAGATAGCTAAGAAAGTTGGCCGCAATCTCAAGCGCAGAGCGTCAGCCTTCCTGGAGGCTGCCGAGGAAGCTGAAAAGCCGCAGAGCGCAACAGCGGCAGGAGCAGCAGCAGCGCTCGAGGGGGCCCCAGCGGAGCTGCCGAAGCAGAAAGGTTCAAAGAAGCGCCAGCGCAGCAGCAGCAGCAGCGACAGCGGCAGCAGCTCCAGCTCCTCGAGCTCCGACAAGAAAAAAGAAACAGAAGAAGGGCAGTAAGGGCAAGAAGGGCAAGAAGGGAAAGAAGGGCAAGAAAGGCAAGAAGGACAAGAAGAACAAGAAGGACAATATCGATGACGAGGAAGAGCTCTCAGGGTCTGACGCGGGCCTCAGCCCAAAGGAGCTTGCGGCCAAGCGCAAGGCGAGGCTCGCAGCAGAGAAGAAGGCGGCCCGCGAGGCTAAGAAGATTCAGAAAGCCATGGGCAGGGAGATGGCCAAAGAGCAGACAGCCCGCAAAAGGGAGGACCAGAAGAAGCGCACCAAGGGCTTGCAGGTCGTTAGCAAGGCGCTGTTGGCGGCGAAGCCTTTGCCGAAGAAGACGGGGGATCTTCTGCGCGATGAGCGCGCGAAGAAGGCTCGACGGAGTCAGATCGGATCTGGCGACGGGGAGGAGGAGGGGGGGGGGGGGCGGAGGAGGAGGAGGAGGCAGAGGAGGAGGAGAAGGAAGAGGAGGAGGAGGAGGAGGGCGGAGTCGCCCCCTCTCATTTCAGGCGCTGGCGACGTGCACTGAGGAGGCCACCAAAAAGCAGAAGTTTCTGACTGATGTTGTGGAGCATTGCAACAAGTGCCTGGAGGACGAGGATGTCGTCCCAGACGTCAAGGAGGAGGAGGTTAAGACGGCTGTCACCTACATGACAGCGTGGACGAATAATATCAAGGCTGCTTTCGAGACGCAGTCGTGGGCCAAGAAGAAGTGATCCACTGGGGCTCTGGCCAGATCACTTCGGAGTATGTCTCCATCGACGGGTTGGTTACCGATGGCATGACCGTGGCGGTAGCTACCTGGACTTCTGAGCGTGCTTGCAGGGGCGCACGGCGGACGTAACCGCTCTCGCGTGGGATATATAAGGGGCTCGTTGCTCCTCTTGCTAGCGTCGTATACATCGGAAGCTGCTGCGTTGCTCCTCTCAGCAGCCCGCTCCGATGCAGTTCCCATGGCAAACGCGCTTCCTTCCTTCCTTCCTCCTCCTCCTCCCCCTCTTCCTCCTCCCACCCGCGCTTTCTTCCTTCCTTCCTCCTTCCTTCCTCCTCCTCCACTGGAAAGGGCAATGGGAGATCGCACGGACAGTTACGTGGTTTGTTCTCGGACTCGAAAATTTTTCGTCTTGGACCGTCATATAGGTGCTATCAAAGATGGGGAATTCCAGTGGGACGAGTCTCTCAAGGAGATCCCCGACGAAACGCTCCGCAAGACGCTCAAAGACACCATCGACGAGGCACTATCTCTCTGAGATGCTCACGTGAGGGGTCTCGTATGTGCACTCAATGTGCAGGGTAAATGGGCCGACGAGACTCAAATGCAAGCCAACCTAGATTTGCTCGAGCTGAAGTGCTGGGGCTTAATTTGTATCTTAGAGGCGGATTTCAAGGGCTGTCTTCAAAACGATGGGCTACTACGCCCTGTTTTCAATGGCCACGCTTACTACCGCCATCACTCTGGCCCTGGGTGTAGGGCCATGGGCGTGCTTGTGCACAAATCTCTGAGAAAACGTGTGAAAGACATTGTCTGCGATTGGAGATCTATCCGTGTTGATCTTCGTCCTGACTGTCTCGATGGATGCCGCCATCATGCCAGATCCTTTCTCTTCTCTCATCTTGCCCACGATTTTTTCCATGATTCTTTAAACTGTGCCATCCAACTCGGTCGATCCCGCCCCGTGGGGTCTACTCTTTCTTGGTTGGGGGACATGAATGCCGATCAAGGTAACGGAGATCCGAAATTCCGATCGTTCTGTGAAGCTTGTTCATGCCTCGATCTCCGTTGGTGCCCTCTCAGGTTCCAAGAGACCTCCATGCAATTCACTCGGAAGCCTGATGGTGAGCAGGCGCTTTCTCAAGCCAACAGCACGATCGATCACATAGCCCTCGCCAGGAGTGACCTCACTTTTGATTGTTTCGCCCGCTGGGCGGGCGCCCCAGGGGACCATGCCCTTGTGGGCTGTGATGTGCTGGCCTTTCACCAGCAGGTGCGTAAGAGAAGACCTCTCTTGTGGACTCCTACAAACATTTTGGAGGTGAGGAAGATCGCCCAGGGTCTGTTTCCCGAATCAGCGGAACTTATTCGTTTAAATGACGAAGAACAGCCCGATTCATGTGCGGTCAGGTATCATGACCCAAGGGACCTCACCCTCTCCTTTGATTTCTGGGAAAACATGTTGGGCCAGGTTTATGAAGCGACTCAGGCTCTCCCAAGGAGTTTTAGGAGATTTGCCGAAGAGCCATTTTGGGTCAAGAGTCTCAGGACACGGTTCAACTCCGAACTTAATGAAGCCACGAGGGTCTCCTTGGGTCAGCTTCTATTGAAAGCTCTCAAGATAACTAAACTTCAACGCGATTTGGCTCAGGTTGCGCTCAACGCCTCCCAAGGAAAACGGGTCTGGGCCTCACGCAAGACCCTCCTACCCATATTGGGTTTCTGTGTAGATCAAGTCAAGATTTTTGAAGTGGACCGCTGTATCACACTGGTGGCTGAAGAATACAGCGAGAGGTGGGGACTCTCAGAATCGGAGCTGCAAGAGGACATCGCCTGGCTTCGCTCTTTGGGTTTCTTCAACTTCTACAACGACCCCATTATTCCCTCCCTGCTGGAAGACGCGCTGGACAACATCAAGGCACCCCGTAAGATCGACACAGAGTTCGCCTGCACGGCGGTAGTAAAAGCCTCGGGATGGTCCCAAAGGCTCATGGGGTGTATACAGGCCTGCTTAGGCGATCCCGAATTTTGGAACGATGTCACATTCAGGGGCCACTTGGGTAACAAGATCAAGGGTTTTGGAACCCCTTCTCAAACCAGAGTTGTCATTCCTCAGCCAGCAATTGCCAAGATTGGGCACGCATATGTGGCAAGGGCCATTCTGCCAGTTCTGGATTCATACACTGATTCTAAAGGTCTCAAAGGTCTTATTTTTGGGCTCAGCAAAGGTGGACAATTACAGGAACTTCACACCAGTGTCTATCACATTTTAGAATACGGCCGAGATCATCTTAACAAAGGAATGGTTGGGATTACTGACATCAAAACTCACCACGATCAGATTCGTTATGGATTAGTCCTGCGGAGTCTATTGGGACGGGGGGTTCCTCTTTTCTTAGCAGTGGGCTGCATCAGATTGCATAGGAACCCTCGAGTCTCCATCTCCCTTTTGGACTCAAACACTGGGATTATCCAGAGAGACCGTGGGTTGATGCAGGGAGCTGGGACGGCATGCATACTGGCGCGCGTTTCCGTAGAAGATTGTTTCGCCTCCACCCTGGAGAAAATTACCCATTCTTCTTTGGGAATCTCTATCCGTTGCGAGCAGTTGGGCTTCGATTTCAGGATTGCTCTTCTCAGCTGGTCGGATAATATCTTCGTGGTGGCGTCCTCGGAACAAGACCTTGCAACTCTGACTGCACTGGTAGAGTCGGAGCTCTGGAATGAACATCGGCTCAAACTCAAAGACGATCGGGAAATCCTTCCGGCCTACCCCTATTTCTTTCAAGGATATAATTGGTCCGATCCCTTTGGGAAAACTTGGTCTGTTGTACCGGAGGCTAAGGTGCTGGGTCCGATTCTCTCTGCCACTGGATCCTGTCACGAAGATGTCAAGCAGGGTATTTCACAAATCAACAAAGCCTTTTGGGCTAACAGTAGGTTCTTGATCAACGAGCAGATCCCCATGTCTAAACGTCTCTCAAAACTTAACTGTATGGCGGGGGGGATTATCCGCTCCAGAGGTGCTGCCTGGGTCCCTCGTAAGACGACGGCGGATTTGATTACCAAGGCTCAAAATCAATGTATCAGGATCATGTTGAAACTCAAAAGGCTCCCGGGGGAATCTCCCGAACAGTTTAGTTTACGCAGAAATCGCAAAACCAAGGGATACAAAGATGTTTCATGGGCTATTTTCCATTTGGATTCAGCTATTAGTTGGGTTTCACACATGCAAAGACATCCAGAAGATTTCTCGTCGAGGCTGTTTCAATATTGCAAGCATTGGGTTATTCAGAATCGCTCCTTTGACAACTTTGGGGGCAGCCGTACCCACTCACGCTCGCATAGGGGATATGTTTTCAGGTATGACAAGGATGCCTGGACCACCTTATTCTCTCCTCAGGGCTCCCGGGACAAAAAGTTTCGTTTGGGCCTTGCTCAAGAAATGCTTGATTGGGTTCGGCAACCGCTTCACCTTCGCCTTCAGTAGCCATTGGCTTTGTCTGGCGTGATCCAGACTCACATTTGTTACCGTACTGCGCCCAGCGAGGCTACCTTTCTTTTCACCACGGACACCTGTTACTCTCAGGATCTGGATTTGGTTGGGAATCAGATTCAGCCGACAATTCCCCTTTTCTTTGGATTCGATCGCCACGCCTTAGATCGTTGGGCTCGGAAGCGTCTGGATAAGATGGATCCGAAGCCCGTGCTTACCACGAATGAGAAGAAAGTCAAGCTGCAGAAGAAGCTCGAGCAACAAAAAGGAGGACCAAGCAAGGACGGTCGAGATCAAGAATCAGGGCCTCAAGGCCAAAGCATCGTCAGGTGCTGACCCTCGCGAATCCAGGGTGCTCCCTACCCCGCCTCCAGCGCCCGTGCACAGGGGAGACTCTTTGTCTCGGAGCCGATCACCGATTGCCAGGAAGATGCAGTTCTCAGGTGGGTTCAAGAAACAATTGCAGGGTGGTGAGTCGGGGTCCAAGCCAGAGCCGGACGAGGCCTTGCCAGAGACGCAGGACTACCGAGAGGAAGCACCTGTCAGACCCTCCCCACCGTCTTCGGGGGGCTCAGACTCCAGGAGCTCTACCTCTGGATCTGAAGCGGAGGTCGACTCGCCTGACCGCAGGTCGCAGCCTGCTCCCAAATGCTGGGAACAGGACAAGAAGCCCTGGATCAGCAAGTTGGGCCCACCAGTGCTGAAGTCTCAGTTGGAATACGACCACTCAGGCTGCCCAATTTTCGCTCCGAAGGGCGGCACAGACCACACGAGCTCAAGGCGTTACATTATGGTTTTCGTACCCCAGCTCACAGGTTTGAATACCTTTAAGGCCAAAGTCGGGGAACACTTCCAAATCATCACAGTTCGTGAGCTGACGCCTTTCATCATTGACAATCAAGGTCCCTTGGTCTCAGACAGTATTCCAGTCTTGGGAGAGCACGGATATCTCACTACCAGGGACGTCACGAATATTCTTTGGCACTTTGGGCTCAACACATTTCGTTTCAAGGACATTCATTTGTTCAATGCGCGCTTTTACACTAAGGAGGCCTTCATTGGCCCAGAGATCTGCCCAAAGAAGGAGAGGCTCCATGACAAATCGCAGATCTTTGCTGGCAGCTGCATTGTGGCCCTCCTCTTCATCAAGGATATGTTTGAAGATGTGGGAGATCTTATCACGGTGGAGTCTGGGAGTAACGGAGCCAATGTAAGGTGCCATCTGCTATGCAAACCTCGTTTCCTGATGTGATCGAGGCAGTTCCGAAGATACGGCTCAGGTTTTTCAGTCCTTTGGGCCCTCAGCTCATTTCTTGGTTCAATCTGGGAATAATCTGGGATTACAAGGGCTTTCACTGGGCCCCCAGGTCATTTCCCTGGAGCTGGGATTACATTCTGTTCTCCTCAATTCGTCTGTCAGGGCCAAAGTAGTGGGGTCGATTCTTGCTCTTTGCCCACAGCCTCGACGTGGCAAGTCTCAACTTGGGATTGCTTCGCGCTTAGTTTGGTCCTTCACTTCAGTTCAAAACGGGCTTGGATGGGATTGTTAATTTCATCACGTTTGCCAGGATGATGGCTTTCGGTTCAATCTGGGAATTCCTGGGATTACAAGTGCTTCATTACATTGGGCCTTCAGGTCATTTCTCATGAGCTGGGATTGCATCATGTTCTTCTCAATTCGGTTGTCGGGGCCAAGTGGGGTTGATTCTCGCTCTTTGCCCACGGCCTCGAAGTGACAAGTTTCTACTCGGGGTCGTTTTGCGCTTAGTTTGCTTCTTCACCTCAGTACAAATGGGTTTGGCCTGGGATTGTTAATCCCACTTCGTTGGCCAGGACGATGACTGCCGTCCGATCCCTGATAAAGTGTATCTCTTATCCCTGTCTCACCATCTAATGGATCCACATCTGTCGGTTGTCTTGGTGTCCTGGTGCTTTTCTGTAGTCATTTTGGTTCAATCCGCTTACCTCGTTCTGCTTCAACCCCTTCTCAAGTTATCTGGGAACACACTCTCATGCTTGCCCCTCAGAGGGTCGTCAGGCCATGGAATTCAAAATCTCTCCAGTGTTGTGTCTTCGAGGCATGGGCATCCGCCTGCCCACGTGCACTGGCAATTGAAAGTTCCGAGATCGTTCCTGTAAATTCAGGTTCATACAATCCACGGAAATGCGTCACACTCCACATGTATGAGAAGGGGCGCGAATTCGAGATACCTCTCAGGCAGCTATGGAATCTCTTTGAGGAATTCTTCTCAAGTGAGGCATGCAAGAACCTTATTGGGATCGTGGGAATCGCAGTGCGCTCTATGTCTTTTGTACAGATCAAGACAATGTCATACAAAGGCGCAGTGTTCTACGATAACCGCTGGTCGGACCCTGGGAATTTCATTTATACAGTCTGGTGGAATATTTGGGGTCAAATGGCCAGGTACCTTCAAAGACGACAGCCTACCAGGGCCTCGTCCAAATCCATGGAGGAGCTTCGCTCAATCGCTGGCCGTGTCACCGATGTACAGAGGATGGTCCGCGAGCGGTGGAATAGGGAACCCGACACTTCTCGATGGCTAGAGCTTATTGGAGATTTGATGGAGCTTGGGTTGGGAGCGGGGTATGTTGACCCAGATCGGTTCTGGAATATAATTCAGGGGATATCTCCCATCATCTGCTCCATTCGGTCAATTTTGACGTTTGTCGATCAACATGGGTCTTTTGCTAGGACCGGGAAAGACCGTCGCCTTTTTCGTGGCCCATGTGCACCCCTTACTCGGAAGTTTGCCGTGGCAATGTTTCACGGAATGCAAGTGCACAAATTTAATGTTACGGAATCTTCAGAGGTCTGGGTCTCCTACCTAATTGCGGCCTCAGAGAACAGGCTTCAATACTAGTGGAGCCGGGGCATTTGACGCCTCACGGAATTTGCATTTGGGTCTGAATCGAGACCCCACTGGGATCTCCTCTCCCTTCTTCTGCCTACCACCTAGTGGATTGGCTGACACCAGGAGATGTCACTTGTGCGATTCTATCTGGGACCCGCTCGATCCATTCGATCTTAGGGATACCGTGGCTTCGCAACAATCCTTCCCTCCTCAGGATGCCTCTGAGTCTTTGGGCCTCGGCGTCTGTACTCCTCCCTTGGGTTTGGGGGGATGGGCCCCTTCCCTCCCCATGACCCCTGTCGGCTCCTGCAGTCTCGGACTCAAGCTTTCGGTATGCTACATCACACGGCTTCGGATCCTTACGTTATCTTTCAGGGGAAGCTTTGCAAGTCTAACCGCAAAGTCTGCTTCCTGTCTAAACGAGATCTTGAGGCACTTTCATACTGCTCCCCGCTACTATTCCAAAGGGTGGTCAAGTTGCCGGCTCGGTTTCTTGTGCCGTCGGGCCTTGGTGGTCCTCATTTCACATATGACTGGTGCAAAATCCCATTCTTCAAAGCTTGCCGGGACAGCGGCTATCATGGTCTGTATGTCAACGTTCGGGGTCCCGATGAAAGGGTTCGTAGAGTCCCTTGGACAGAATTTGTTGCGGGTCAGTAGCCGTTTCGCCTCAAATCCCTACTGGGGCTCTTGTCTGAGACGGCTGGGAAACCTCCAACTCCAGGGGATGGCTAAACGCTGCCTTCCAGTCAAGCTTGCTGCCAAGAAGCGTCTCAAGTGGACACACGGCTCGGGCGGAATGTGGAACTACTGCGAAGAGGACGAAGTCTACACCAAAGTATGGAATACGGAGTACTTTGACACGTGGATCGATCCCGATTCGGGCTGGCCTCACCCAGTTGTGTGGTACTTGTCCGATTACTGGTGGGATGGAGATTTCTTCGTGGAAAAGTGGCGTTGGAAGCACGGCTGAAGGGCATTCCTGGGACTCCCTCAGACTGGAATCTTCTGGTGTCTGCGGTGCGTGGGCCTGCGGCTTTTGGAGGACTCTCAGTCTCTCTCAATCTCTCTTGCATGTACTTCTACAATGTTGGTTTGCAAAATACAAAAGGTTATAAACATTTCCAGCCAACTTGCGTTCTCCATATTCGTTTGAATTCAACCATATTCCATACTCCTTGACATGCCTGGTGTGGGTTCTCACGGTTGGGATCTCATTCTGCTTTGACAGTTCATCTTGTGTGCCTCCGTATCTTCTGGGTTCATTGCGTGCTTGGGACATTCAGTTTATCTTTCAGATTCTCTTTCAGTCATATATATTAGCCTTGACCACTACTCATGTTCAATGGGTTTCATGGGACTTAATGGAAGTTTTCTTCACCTCTTACTTACTTTAGACCTTGGGACCATGTGCTTCCAAGGTTGGGCCCCAATTGTCACTCAAGATCTTGTTAGTCAAATTTGGGCACCTCTTTCATTATGTTTCTCATCTTCATTCAACACAAGAGGGACCTAGTGGTGGGATTCATTTGGGATATTGGACAGTCTGTCATTCATGATTTCTTTCAGCATCATGGGTTTCAATCCTGGGTTGGGCTTTACCTTTTCTCCGCTTCTTTCCTCTCCTGCCTCTCCTCCCTTTTCTCTCTTTCTCTACCGTACGCACTTGGCGTATTGGTGGCTTCTCAGGTTTGTGTTTTGGGAGGACCGACCTTTCAAGGCGCTTCATCATCATCATCATCATCATCCCCCTCTTCCTTCTCCCCCCCCCCCCCCTCCTGCGCGAGTTAACCGCTTATCCCCCCTCCCCAACCACGGAATGCATCGTGATGTTGTCGCATGCAGCAGCGGCATTGCCGCTTTGCTGATGATGGCGTTTTCACTTGCAGCGGCATTGCCGCTTTACTTGTAGTTGCATTGCAGCGGCATTGCCGCTTTGCTATAGCGATGTCCTTCTCAACTTGCAGCGGCATTACCGCTTCACTTGTATTTGCATCAGCGCAGCGGTCTGACCGCTTTGCTACGCCTGCACGTTCATCCCAATGCTTCCGCTCAGCGCCGCCTCAACCGTAGCGCTGGCTCAGGCCAGCTTTCGCCCGGGCCAGCTCTGGCTTCATCTCCGATGAAACGTTCAAGTTCCGATGCGGGCGAGAACGTCTCCACCGGGTCGCGCGCATTGGCTCCGCTGGTTGCCTCGTTTAAAGCGTCGAACACGGCCGTGATCGGCATTGCGCGCTGCTTGAAGGAGCAGCCAGAGATCATTGACGACGTGACGAAGTGGAGGATCAGAAAGGCTCACGAGGAATTCGCATCAGGATTTCTGGATGCGCCAATACAGCTGAACTTGTTAAGCGGCGCTGCCTCCGACGTGCCCGTCGTCAATTTCGCCGGCTTCCTTCAACGCTGCGCTTCCGAATCTGCGAGCTTCAGAAATTTGCTGCCCGCAACTTTAAGAGAATTCCCGTGCCCCCCAGCGGCGCCGTGGGACTTCATCTTGCACTTCGATGAGTTCGTGCCAGGCAATGTCTTGCGGCAAGATAAAAAACGCAAGACGCTCTCGTTTTACGGGAGCTTCCGCTCCTTCGGCCCTGACGCGGTGTCGAGCGAGGACGCTTGGTTGCCTCTCGCTTTTGTTCGCCACGCAGTGGTCGATAAGGTTGCTGGCAGGATACCTGGAGTCGTTCGCCAACTGTTGCGACGACTTTTTATTGGCCCAGACAGCGCGTCGCAGAGGGGCGCCCGCATTGATGGCATTGGGCCTGGCGGCGCCCCTGCGCTCATCTTCTTTGAGCTGTCGAACCTGCTGCTGTGCGACGAAGATGGCGCTAAAAATGCCTGGCGCTTGAAGGGCGCCGCTGGCGTAATTCTTTGCGCTCTGTGCAAGAATGTGCACGGCATCTACGACCACGCGGAGCCCCTGCTGTCAGCGCATGACAGGACGAGCGCGCCGGTGCCCATTTCGTGATCTGATCCCAACCTGTTCGACGCGCGCACCGCGGAGGACCTGTTCTTTTCCGCGGACCTGCTCCAGCGTCTGCAAGCCGCGCTGCCCATGGGCGCGTTATGCAAGATGCACGGCGTCAATCACGTGCCAGATGGCTTGCTATTGGACGCTGAGCTTCGCCAGGACGTGTCGCTGGACATGCGCGCGCACGGCCCAGCACGCTGCATGATCATAAATGGGATCGCTCATATTGAACTGAGTGAGTTTCTGTGCCGCCTCGCTGCCGTCGGCCTGACGTTGGAGCGCTTCAGGGACATCGCCAGCGCGCAGAGGCAGACTTGCACCTCTTCAGCGACCAGCGGCAAGCTGGACGCCAACGGGCTTTTCAGCGACCAGCGGCAAGAACACTTGCAGACCAGCAAGAAATACAGCGCCAAGGCGAGCGAGATCATCGCGGCCGTTCGGCTCACTCGGTACGCTCTCGAATTACTTACCGCTGGGTCCGCTCAGTTCAAGCTGGACTTTGCAAGGGAGCTGGCTTCCCTTGCCGCGCTGGCCAAATCAATTTCTTTGTATTTGTTGGCCAAGAGGGGCGCGGCTCTGGCAGATGCTTGGGCCGTGGCGCCCCGCGACCACGCCGTGGCTTTCGAGTCTGCGTGCGGCGATTGCGGCGTGCACATCCCAAAGTTTCATTTATGCAGGCACCTGCCGCGACAGGTGCTCAGGGATGGGTTCGCAGTTGATGCGCTTGTGACGGAGAGATACCGTGACAAATCACTGCGGGTCGCTGAATTCATCGACAACACGCGGTGCTTCGGGAAATCATTACTGATACGAGCTATTGCCTTTCAGTGCCACGATGCGCAACATAATGCTTCATTTGGGAATGCCTTGGTGTGCGGCATCAAATACAACGACGCCATGAACGTTTCGAAGGTCGTTCTTGCGGGTGGCTCTCGCATATCAGCTGGAGATATTCTTCGTATTGGTGAGAAGCGCTATGTTATCCTCGGTGGTAACGAGGAAGGCGGAAACGTGGCGTTGATTGTTCACGAGTTGCATTTTGTCTGCCAGGCGTTGCCCAGCGCCTCGCGGCGGCGAAAGGACGACGCCCCGAAGTTCGCGCAGTGCGACTCCTTCATGGCACAGACTCTCTGGACACAAGAGGCTTCTGGAACTCTGTTATTGGTGGATATTGCATAAGTACCCGCAGGCGCCGAAGTGCCTGCAAGCGTCGAGCGCTGGCGCGATTGCGCTTGCCAGCGCATGCCCCGAGAAAAATTATCCTGGCGAAGGGCCCAACCATACGCAATTCCGAATGCCGCCGCTGTAAGTATCGTCGTTGGTGGAACACCCGATGGGGCCACGAAGCGTGTGAGAGGTGCGCCAAATGGAGGTGGAACTGCATGCGGACCCTGCCACTGGGGCCTTCGGTGGAGCACCCTGTGGGGCCGCGAAACGTGTGAGGGGTGCGCCGAAATGGAGGTGGAACTGCATGCGGACCCTGCCATTGGCGCCCTCGGTGGAGCTCCCTATGGGGCCGCGAAACGTGTGAGGGGTGCGCCGAAATGGAGGTGGAACTGCATGCGGACCCTGCCACTTGGGCCTTAGGCGGAGCTCTCTATGGGGCCACGAAACGTGTGAGGGGTGTGCCGAAATGGAGGTGGAACCGCATGCGGACCCTGCCACTTGGATCTTAGGCGGGGCTCCCTATGACGCCACGAAACGTGTGAGGGGTGCGCCGAAATGGAAGTGGAACTGCATGCGGACCCTGCCACTTAGGCCTTAGGCGGAGCTCCCTATGGGGCCACGAAACGTGTGAGGGGTGCGCCGAAATGAGGTGGAACTGCATGCGGACCCTGCCACTGGGGCCTCGGTGGAGCTCCCTATGGGGCCCGTGTGAGGGGTGCGCCACGCAGACACTTGGGCCTCGGTGGAGCTCCCTATGGGGCCACGAAACGTGTGAGGGGTGCGCCGAAATGGAGGTGGAACCGCATGCGGACCCTGACACTTGGGCCTTCGGTGGAGCTCCCTATGGGGCCACGAAACGTGTGAGGGGTGCGCCGAAATGGAGGTGGAACCGCATGCGGACCCTGACACTTGGGCCTTCGGTGGAGCTCCCTATGGGGCCACGAAACGTGTGAGGGGTGCGCCGAAATGGAGGTGGAACCGCATGCGGACCCTGACACTTGGGCCTTCGGTGGAGCTCCCTATGGGGCCACGAAACGTGTGAGGGGTGCGCCGAAATGGAGGTGGAACCGCATGCGGACCCTGACACTTGGGCCTTCGGTGGAGCTCCCTATGGGGCCACGAAACGTGTGAGGGGTGCGCCGAAATGGAGGTGGAACCGCATGCGGACCCTGACACTTGGGCCTTCGGTGGAGCTCCCTATGGGGCCACGAAACGTGTGAGGGGTGCGCCGAAATGGAGGTGGAACCGCATGCGGACCCTGACACTTGGGCCTTCGGTGGAGCTCCCTATGGGGCCACGGAACGTGTGAGGGGTGCGCCGAAATGGAGGTGGAACCGCATGCGGACCTTGCCACTGGGGCCTTCGGTGGAGCTCACTATGGGTCCACGAAACGTGTGGCCATGATGGAGACGGCGATGATGATGACGACGATGGTGATAAGAACGATGATGATGATGCTGATGATGACGGTGACGATGACGATGATGATGATGATGATGATGATGAGAGGGAGGAGGGAGGAAGGGGAAGAGGAGGAGAGGAGAGGACGCGGGCACCGTCTCTTCAAAACGAGGACCCAACACCACAGGATGGTTGGGAAAAAAGGCGCAATCGGCAATCGCTGTCGAGATTTAGCGGCGCGACCGCTTCGCGAGGCTACCCAGGGGAAGACAGGGGGGCGAGGAGGAGGAGGGGGAGGAGAGACAATCGGAGCGGTGCGACCGCTTTGCCACTTTGCGAGGCTATCCAGGGGGGGGGGGGGGGGGGGGAGAGGAGGAGGAGGGGGAGGAGGAGGGGCAGGAGGAGGAGGAGGTGGAGGAGAGGAGGGGAGGGAGGAAGAGGAGGAGGAGGAGGACGAGACGAGAGGTTGAGGAGGACGAGGACGAGGAGGAGGACGAGGAGGAAGAGCGGTGCGTCCGCTTTGCCCCTCATGCCCCGATCCTTCGCGCGCGATCGCTTTGCGAGGCCATCCAAGAGGAGGAGGAGGAGGGGGAGGAGGAGGAGGAGGAGGAGGAGGAGGAGGAGGGGGAGGAAGAAGAGGAGGAGCAGGAGGAGGAGGAGGAGGGCGAGGAGGACGAGGAGGAGGAGGACGAGGAAGAGGAGGACGAGGACGAGGAGGAGGAGGAGTAGGGGGAAGAGGAACAACGGCGCGTCCACTTTGCCCCTTAAATCCTGATTCTGGGAATGACCGTTTTGCAGGTCATCCAAAAGGAGGACGAAAAGGAAGAGGAGGGGGAGGAACAAATGGAGGAGGAGGAGGAGGAGGAGCGGCGCGACCGCTTTGCCTCTTCAGCTTCTTGGTTCCCTTCAGTTTTGCCGCTGCCACTGTCATCTCAAGAGCTGCAGCGACGCCTTGCGCGGGCCCGGTGCGAGCGCGACAAGAGGCTCACGAGGCCATCGGAGGTTGCCATCCAGGGATTCGAACGCATTTGCCCTCCCTCCTCCTTCTCCTTAACCTCCCCTCCCCCGTTGGAGCGCAACGTTCTGGGCGTGATTAAAAACAGAAGTTCTGAAGCGGCCAAACTGCTGCACTGTGCAACTTGCAATGTAAAAGCGGTCTGCCGCTGCGGAAAAAAAAGAGAAGCAAGCTGGCTTGTTTTTTTTTTTTTTTTTTTATTTTTTAGAATTGGCTATTTATTAATGTTCACGATTTGTTTCACTAATTTACCTAACAGCTCTTGCTGATAGGTTTCTACTGGTTTCAAAAGAGAGCATCATGACTCCTCAGGGGGGTCGGGGCGGGGCCCGGGAGGCTGCCGCCGAAGCCGAAATCCCTTGGGACATCCTCGCAAAATCGCTCTTGGTGCTCCCAGAATTCCATCCCCGGGCCACATTTTGGATGCCCGGGGCCAACTGTAGGCCACTTCGTGCTCTTCGAGTTCCCAGAACTCCATTCCCGGGTCACATTTTGGATGCCCGGAGCCAACTGTAGGCCACTTCGTGCTCTTCGACTTCCCAGAACTCCATTCCCGGGCCACGTTTTGGATGCCCGGAGCCAACTGTAGGTCCTTTCGTTTTCGTGCTCTTCAAGTTCCCAGAACTTCACTCCTGGGCATGATTTTGAATGCCCGGAGCCAACTGTAGGCCACTTCGTGTTCTTCTAGTTCCCAGAATTCCACTCCTGGGCCACATTTTGAATGCTGAGGCAGGCTGATGCTGCGGCCGAGGCAGGCTGAGGCTGAAGGCAGGCTGAGGCTGAGGCCGAGGCTGAAGGCAGACTGAGGCTGAGGCTGAAGCAGACTGAGGCTGAGGCTGAGGCAGGCTGAGGCTGAGGCTGAGGCAGGCTGATGCTGAGGCAGGCTGAGGCTGAGGCTGAGGCTGATGCAGGCTGAGGCTGAGGCAGGCTGAGGCTGAGGCCGAGGCTGAAGGCAGACTGAGGCTGAAGCTGAAAGGCTGAGGCTGAGGCTGAGGCAGGCTGAGGCAGGCTGAGGCTGAGGCTGAGGCTGAGGCTGAGGCTGAGGCTGAGGCTGTGACTGCGACTGCCGTTGCCGCTGCGACTGTCATCGCGAATGCGACTACGACTGCGAGAACAGCAGAATTCTACAACTGGATTTTCATGTGAATCTTAAGGGGAATGCTTTCAGATATGCTTCTACACGTCGCTGTTAGGTTGCTTTGCCGGGATATTTTTCACCATTTTTCATCACTTTCACTTAACAGTTTTTGCTGATAGGTTTCCAGTGGTCTCAAAAGAGAGCAGCCGATGACTCCTCAGGGGGGTCTGGGCGGGACCCGGGCGGCTGCCGCCGAAGCCCAAATCACTTGGGACATCCTCGCAAAATCGCTTTGGCGCTGCTAGAACTCAATCCCCGGCGTACATTTTGGATGCCCGGAGCCAACTGTAGGCCACTTCATGACTTCGAGTTCCCAGAACTCAGTTCCCGGCGTACATTTTGGATGCCCGGACCCAATTGTAGGCCACTTCGTGGTCTTCGAGTTCCCAGAACTCCACTTCGTGGTCTTCGAGTTCCCAGAACCCCATTCCCGGCGTACATTTTGGATGCCCGGAGCCAACTGTAGGCCACTTCGTGGTCTTCGAGTTCCCAGAACTCCATTCCCGGGCCACATGTTGGGTGCCCGGAGCCAACTGTAGGCCACTTCGTGCTCTTGGACTTCCCCGAACTCCACTCCCGGGCCACATTTTGAATGCCCGGAGCCGACTGTACGCCACTTCGTGCTCTTCCACTTCCCAGATTTCCAAAATTCATCATCTTCATCATCATCATCATCATCATCGTCCCTGTAGCCTTCTTGGCTACAGCCCTGCTTTCGAAGATTTCCTTTCAAAGGAACTGCGCAGCGCCTACTGGACACCTTTGCGAGGCCGAGGCTGCAGGCAGACTGAGACTGAGGCTGAAGCAGGCTGAGGCTGAATGCTGAGGCAGGATGGCGGCTGATGCTGAGGCTGAGGCAGGCTGAGGCTGAGGCAGGCTGAGGCTGAGGCCGAGGCTGAAGGCAGACTGAGGCTGAGGCTGAAGCAGGCTGAGGCTGAGGCTGAGGCAGGCTGAGGCTGAGGCAGGCTGAGGCTCAGGCTGAGGCAGGCTGGGCTGAGGCTGGGGCATTTGAGGCAGGCTGGACTGAGTGCTTGAGCAGGCTGAGGCTGGTGCAGGCTGAGGCT